CCAGCGCTCCCTTTGACCCTCCGTGTGCTCCCCGTGCAAGAAGGGGCCAGGCCAGAGCCACCCTTGCTCCTTCATCTGTCCCAGCTCTGCATGGAGGAGCTGGGACCAGAGCCCATGAGATTCAAACCCCAAGAGGTTTCTCCTTGGCTCCTGCCCCAGGGATGCTCCCAGTCTAAGCTCGTGTCCGTGTCCCGCAGGCGCTGCTGTGGAGCATGCGGTCCTATACCCTCATCCGACGGCTGGAGGGCCACCAGAGCAGTGTGGTGTCGTGTGACTTCTCGCCGGACTCGGCACTCCTCGTCACTGCCTCCTACGACGCCTGCGTCATCATGTGGGACCCCTACACAGGGGAGCAGCTGAGGACGCTGCGGTACGGAGCCGAGGGGCTGGTGAGGGACCAAGGAAAGGGGACAGACCAGTGCCGTGGGGATTTGTTAGGGCTGAACATGGCCTTCCCTCCTAGCTGGGCACAGCCACCACCTCTCCCCTGTCTCCAGTGGCTGAAAAGGGGGCTCTGGCTTGCTGGGTTTGGCCCCTCTGCCAGACTGGGAGTGCTGGGGATGGAGCTCCTGGCAGCCTGGGGCTGACTGGGCTTGTTCTCCCCACCTGTAGCCACGTCCCCTTGCACTCAGCGCTGGACTACAGCAGTGAAGTCCACACCAGCTCCCTGCGCTCCGTCTGCTTCTCCCCTGAGGGCCTCTACCTGGCCACGGTGGCGGATGACCGGTGAGTGAACCCACTTGGGGACCTCCAGTGGGAAGAGGGTACTGGGGGGCCACCACCAAAACAAACCAGGAGCTCGCAACGTGCCAGTGGGGAGCAGATCTCATGTGCCAGGTCCCTGGTGTAAGGTGCCTGGTGTAAGGGGAAAGCCTGGGACACCACGGCAAGGGCTAGCAAGGTCAGGGCCCTGTCGCCCATCATGAGCGATGAGCTGGGGGCCATGTCCTGTGTGCTGTGCTGCCCTGCACAGCCACTAGCTCTGTCCCCATCCAGCTCAGCTCTGCAGGGGATGCTGCCTCCCACCTCGCTGCTCTGTTGGGGCACTCCTGGGATGCTCTAAGCCCATGGGACAGAAAATCCTCCTCCAGAGTTTTCATGTGCTCAGGTGAACCCTGAGGCTTTATTTTAGCTGCAGGTGCTGTGTGGGTGTGGGCCTGGCATCTTGGGTGTGGGCCTGGCATCGTGTCCCCTCCCTTTCTCTTCAGGCTCCTGAGGATCTGGGCGTTGGAGCTGCGCTCTCCAGTCGCGTTTGCTCCCATGACCAACGGCCTGTGCTGCATGTACTTCCCCCATGGCGGCTTCATTGCCACAGGGTGCGTATGCAGGAGAGGAGTGCGGAGAAAAGTGGGCTGTTTCCTCCTCCTGCAGCTCTGGGGCTGTTCAACAAATTCTGGACTTCCCTGGGGGTGCAGGGTGGTTTCCTGGGCTGAGGAACGCATGGTTACTGGAAGGTTGGGATATTTGAGGGTAATTGAGCTTTCTCAAGTCTCTCTGCTCTGTGATCACAGGTCGTTTGGGTCTCATTGCAGGACCAGAGACGGCCACGTTCAATTCTGGACAGCTCCAAGGGTCCTCTCGTCGCTCAAGCACTTGTGTCGCAAAGCTCTGCGCACCTTCCTGACGACGTACCAGGTCCTTGCGCTCCCCATTCCCAGGAAGCTGAAGGAATTCCTCACTTACCGGACTTTTTAAGGCAGGGTGGAAAGCGGAGGCATGGAGGTGAGAGTCCTCTGCCTAGTGCTTGAGTCAGAGGAGGCACCACAGCAACGATGTCTCGCTGATTCGTGAGCCGTGGGGCAGGAGGATTGCTACTCCCCTTCTTTTGGAGCCTTGTCTGTGAATGTGGAGGGATTTTTGGTGTAATAATACTAGAACCCAGCAAAAAAGCATGCAGAGGGCAAGGGGCACAGCTGCAGTGGCCCCGCAGGGGACAAGGATCCCCCTGTCCCCCTGCTATCTGCAAGTTTTGGGTCAGGTGCTTTTGCTTCTAAGTGCAATGTTGTGGGTTGAAGGTTAGCAGCTGCAGTCCGAGTGGAGCTTTTGGCCTTCGTACCAATACGGGGCTACAACAGCCCCCCCAAAAACCAACCCTCACTGGAACCACCTTGTGCTGTAGCTTAGTTCCCAGAGGGCTCTGCCGCTCTCCTGGTTTGGGTGCGAGCTGCACAGACCCAAGCGGGTCCCTGCAGACTGAACAGTGGTTACAGAATAAAAGATTATTCCTCATGTCTTTCCTCTTGGCTTGCGGAGGTGACCTGGGGGGATACCTGTGGCCCAGGGCCCTCAGCCCCCCTGGCCATGGCTGTTGGGGCAGCAGTGAGAGCTCGGTCAGTTTTGAAGTGCAGCAGACCAGTAAAATGTGCAGAAGCCCATGGCTGTGACCCCAGTGAATGAAGAAGATGGGGAATGTCTCTCCTAAACCCCTCCCGGGATGTTTTCTCTTGCTGTGCACGGCTGCCCTGCTTGGCTGCATGAGTCATGGGGTGGCACAAGCCATGGTTGTGCTGCTCGGTGCGGGAGGAAGGGAGGTTTTACAGGCAGCTGGGCTTCAGGGTGTGGGTGCGATGTCTTTGCAATGGGATGGGGTGAGCCTCAACCACCTCCAGTCCGTCCTTGTTGTACTAGAGGGGGAAAAAAAGACAAGTGCAACTTGGTGGACTTTAAAGGCTTCTGTATTTCCCGGTGAAACTTAGAAACAACGCTGCCCGACTCTTGTGTCCCGGCTGCGAGCTCAAGGCTTGCAAAAAGGAACGGAAAAGCTGGAGGGAACAGCTGTGGGCATGGGGCTGTTGGTCCCTGCCAGCTTCTGTGAGATGTGGCATTGCAAGCATCCGCGCAGTGGGACTCAGGCTTCGGCCACAATCAGGTCCCTGGTGACTTGGAAAGCCGCTATGAGGGAGCTCAGCTGAATCTTCTCACTGGTCCCAGCAGCCAAGCGGTACCTGGAGCAGGGGGCAAGGGCAGGTTCACGTGTTGACACCAGCATCTGCATCCCCACAGAGCAACAGCTCTGGCTGGGATGGAGCCGCCAGCTGCCAGGACGTGGCCCAACATGGTAGCGGTGACCCCCATGGGGTGGACGTGATGGCAGCCCCTCAGGTGGGGTGTTTAGGGGAAGGGGCGAGCAGATCTTACTCAATGTCTGCCATTTTGATCAGCAGCTGGATGCGGACCGAGGGTGGGAAATCGACTGTGGAGAGAAGGACACAGCGTGCGTCAGTGCAGGCTGGGGTGACGGGGTTAGACTACCCTGGGTTGGTCAGGACCCAGCCCTGCAAGCCCCCACCTCTGTGCACAAACAGGTGGATCTCTGTGAGGATGTCCTGCAGGGCCAAGCCCTTCAGCGTCTTCAGCTCCATGATTTCTGAGATGAGAGCGAGTGAAGGGCTTTCCTCCAGGCCTTTCCCTGCGAGATCCCGCTCCTCATCACCACGACAACCCCAAGGACCCTCCCCAGCAAGCAGCACCCACCCCAGCCAGAGCAGAGAGTCACAGGATGGGACACCCCAGCACAGAGGAGGAATTATAGCAGCGAGGATTCAACCACGGGGCCAGCAGAGGGAAAAGGATACTGCGATAGGCGGTGGAAAAGTCCTGGTTCAGCATCCAGTCGAGGATGTTGGCGATGTCAGACTTGAGGGGGTGTCCCGTGCAGGTGTAGACGTTCTCCTCCGTCACCTTCCCGAAGGCCATGGTGGTGCTCTGAGGAAAAGGAGGGGGGATGAAGAGCTCGGCCCTTCCTCCGTCAGGGCAGCTGCCTGTGTCGAGGCTGATCGCTGCTGGGCTTGCACGAGGGGGGAGCAGCTGCGACCACGCTCCGTACCTGCAAGATATTAAGGGCTCTGCGCATGTCACCACTCGAGAGGGTCACCAGGGCCTTCATCCCATCCTCGCTCACATCCACCCTGGAAAACAAGACCTAGGGCTGCCAGAAGGAAATAAAACCATGGGCGTGTAGGGGAATGAGGAAAGAGGGGGCACAGAGGATGCCCGCTGCCCCCTGGCTCACCCCTCCTCCTGTACAACATGCTGCAGCCGTGGCACCATCAGCTCCGGGGTGAGGGGGCCAAAGCGGAAGCGCGTGCAGCGGGACTGCAAGGCGGGGATGATCTTGGAGAGGTAGTTGCAGATAAGGCAAAAGCGGGTGTTTTCCGTTAGGGGAATGAGGAAAGAGGGGGCACAGAGGATGCCCGCTGCCCCCTGGCTCACCCCTCCTCCTGTACAACATGCTGCAGCCGTGGCACCATCAGCTCCGGGGTGAGGGGGCCAAAGCGGAAGCGCGTGCAGCGGGACTGCAAGGCGGGGATGATCTTGGAGAGGTAGTTGCAGATAAGGCAAAAGCGGGTGTTTTCCGTGAACTTCTCGATGACTGCAAAGAGGAGGGAGGAGAGGCTGGTCCTTGTCTGCTGCCTCATGCAGGCTCCCACCCTGAAGGGATGCCCAGCGCCCCTTACCTCGCCTCAGGGCGTTCTGAGCATCCTGGGTCATAGCGTCGGCTTCGTCCAGGATGACGAGCTTGAAGCCTTTCCTGAAAAAGGGAGGAAAAAAGGGGGTGGCTTTGGTTGGTTGATGCTGGAGAAGGGGGAGTGTGGGGTGCCCATCCCAGCCTGGCCCCCATGAATTCTCCCAGGGAGCCCTCCCTTCTCCTCCAGACCAGCATCTTCCTCACTCCTTCTTAACACCCTCATCCTTCCGGTTCGCTGGGCACCCCCAAACCCATCTCACAAGCTGTGTTGGTGGTGGGGGTGACAACGGGACAGGGAGCTTTGGGAAGTGCAGATCCTCCACTTACTTAAAGATGGTCCTGGTGCTGGCGAAGCTGAGGATGGGCCCTCGGACGATGTCGATGCCCCGGTCATCGGAGGCGTTGAGCTGGAGGGAGACGGTGTGGGTCTGCACCCCTGCCTGGGGATGCACCCAGGGGTGCGGGGAACCCCCCCATCACC